GAACCCGCGACCCACAGATTGCGAGTCCTAACCAGTTGGCCATGCTGGGCCTTCTGCACTTGTATGATTCCGGTTGTGAATTAATATTAATCAGTATTCTATGATTCTGGTTGTGAATTAATATTCATCAGTAACGTTTCTTTTTTTTAATTAATTAATTATCGTATTTTTTCTCAACCGGAATAACTGATGGTTGATTTTGAACTTATGTGTACTCTTTATGTTCAAATAACGTGGAAGAAATCTAAGAAGAAAAATGTTTATCTTTTCGATCACTTCAATTTTATGTTATTCAGACGTTATTTTTACATACAAAATATATACATGATCACTTTCCCATGAATAATACGCAAGTGAAAATAACGTGAATAGCCACATTAGAACACTTACTGCTCACAGTAAAATTACCAGAATATTAACATGCTACCGTTTATCATGAGTTCTGCAGATGCACAAATTTAGTGATACATTAATATTTTAGTCTTAGGAACCACTTTCTTTCTTTCTTTCTTACAGCTCACACTAATATTCTCTTAATGGAACTGCCTTTCTTGGCGGTTTTTTCCCCCCAATTCCGTTTTTAACTAATAATTACCTGGTGAGTTTTTATCAATCTTAGCCACATTCTTATAAGCGTCACCTTTCTGTTTTCACAGACTCATCTATACGATTGTTTTTTCTATATTGGACAAACCTTTCTGTATTTATTATAACCGAAAACCAACACGAAACAAGACATTTCTGCAAACTAATTGGATTTCATACATCTGTGTCAGTATATTTATACAAAACTCACAGTCATTCTTATAAAAATTTTCTTTTTGAAAATGCACGTCCAAGACGAACGAACTTACCGAAATAAACCTATTGTTTCATAGAAATCATCACTGTTAGGATGCTACATATCAACCCAATAATTTTGACAACACCAAAGATACGCATATAAACAACATGTGTGTCTATATATATGGAGAGAAGCTATCACACCGAGACATTTGTAAAACGAGACTCGTGGTGTTGATTTAGTCAGAACTAAATCCGTATAGCAATTTTCTCGTTATAAAACATTTTCTATATTTGGATAAATGCCATCACAATATTAGAGTGTTATATCTTTTTTTTTACTTTGTTCGTTTCTGTTTAAAATTTTATGATACATGTTTTTTTAAACATTCAATATATTTGAAAAGAAAGGTTTTGAGGTTTACGTTACATCACCTGCAACAACTGGGTAGTTGTAAATAATGAAATCATGTAACGTACATGTGTAATGCAAAGCTAAAGCAAAGTTATGCGTCCCTAATTTTCACCTTACAGACAAGAGAGAAAGTTAGTCAAGTGTAACCATCGCCAAATCTCGGGTTATAATCGAATAGTGGAACTTTACCGTCACTCCTATAACGCACCCACGCTTGGAAAGTGCGGAGCGAAATTTTGTGGCAAAGGGGCGCAGGCCATAGATCTTCTCATTCACGTACATTTAACAAGGTTCTAGGGCCTTTCCCAAAGCATTACAAAACTGTTTAAAAACACAAGTATCACGATACTGCAGTCTCTTTTAATTAAAACATTTCATGTTTGTATCATAAAAAAAATAAAATCCTTAGGTTAAAAACAAATACTTTCATCCTCGGTAATTTTCTTAATACGTTTATCACTAAAATTGTCCATTTTAATTTTAAAAACATTTAATCGTATTTTCAAATTTGTGTTACTGAACATTAGAAAAAGCGTCACGTTGTTATCACACTAAAAACACGTTAATTCACCATATGCAGTTCTTGACATAGCCAACTGATTTAAGAAATCTATCACCTTACAGCCTAGAATGGCTCCGGACTTCTTTCTGAACATCGAAGTCGTGTTCACTTTTAAGCATACTTTTATAGTAAGAGCAGAGAACCCCTTCCTCCTATTATTATCATCTATGATATATAGTTTTAAAAATGCAAATTCCTACACATTTATAATCCGTACATTCTCAGTATTGACTGTCACATGAATAACATGGTTATTCTGATTGGTTTATGTTGACCTATTAAACTTTTATATCGTTCACGTATCTGGTAAATCCAATACCCTTATCACTGCACTGATACCAGGTTTCTTTATGTAAATTCTCTTATTCTCTTTACATAACAACATTAAGCAAACACAATTATAAAACTTAACTCTTGCAAACTAACAAATTTTGTGGGAAATGAGTCAATTAGTACTCAAAACCTGCCTTGAATAAACTGAACAGTATACAAAATCCCATAGCAACAAAAAGTCTAGTTTGATCAGAGGACGTTAGTTGGACAATTGTAGCTCATTAGTTTACTTCCCTTAATAAACATTTGATACGTGCGTTTTTCCAACACAACGTGTCTTGAAACGTTTAGGTGAAATATGAAACTGTTTAAAACAGGAATGTAGCTTTAAAAACATAACCAGCATAAAGAGCTAGAACTTTCTTGATAAATTTCACCCGAAAGTTTTTCCACAACATAATAATTATACACGTTGTCGCCTATAAACCAGTTTATTATTTACACACAGTTCGTGACATTCCTAGTTGTGTTTGATAACATTTTTTTAAAGAAGTTATACAGCTATCTTTTTCTTCTTCCTATTTTTAATTGAACTATACGATCGTGTTATTTCATAAGAACAAAGCTTTAAGTTTTCCGATAAAAAACGTCGGTCAACAGTACTTTAAGTTGGATATTTAAAACGTATTCCATCCAATATTTAACATTACTGATAGCCACTTGATGTAAAAACGTGCGGGAATCGAATTACTGGACAAGATTTTATCACACGGAAATTAATGCGTTTTACAGCCATATATTAACTGATGGACTCTTCACATCTCTCTGTAATAGGTAACACGACAATGACATATTTTCACACAATTTTCCACTTTTCTTCCTTCGATTTAATCAATGTTGGACACTACGCACAAAATTCTGATTTATGCACTTTCTTCTTATGAGGGTGATGTAAATTAATCTTATGCAGGATCTTACATCATAAACTATAATGGATACAAATATTTTCACCTTTTTTTTTCGTTCTTGAACTTTAACCGATCTATCTATATTGTATATTCATTATGTATTTTTTGATCAGTTCAAAGCTAAAGTTAATCATTTTTCAAACATGTTAAAATCCATAAACAGACATTGTATGGATTATAGTAATTATTTGTTTTTTCACCTATGTTTAAAGTTTCATACTATGTGCATAGACTTATTACCTTACATACACATACAAAACAATTAAGTTTTTGTTCAATTTGTTACTATCAACGTTTTTTAATAGGATGAATAACTAGAAAATATTTTTGTATACAGATGATTTTACTAAGTTTTTTAACTTTCTCATATTGTTACATCATGTTTCAAGAAAAATGTTTACTTGCATGGATTGTTATTTTAAACGAAGAAAAACCATTAGATTCTTGTTTAATTAATCACCATCAATCTATATTTTTTATAAGATGAATAATCCTTGGAAATATCTCTCTATAGAAATGGTTTCACTAATTTTCTTTTTTTTTAGCGTTATCTTACCGTTACACTGTATGCTCAAAGAAAAAGTTTTACTTGCTTCAATTAGATTTTATGCCACACCAATAAAACGGCTCCTTTTAATTTTTCTGTAATAAAATGTCAAGACCCTGCAAACTTTGTACTGGTTTAGTATTAATTTCCTAAACTGTTCTTTTCTTGAATCATTAACTGTCAACCTAAAGACATATTAGTCACCCTTAAATCAAAGTGTTGCCCAAAATAAATGTTGCTTTTCAGATAATATAAATGAGTCCAAACATTTTAATACTGATGACCCGAGGGAAATATATTTTAATAAAAAAAAATCATAGATTTTTCATACTACTTTTAATCCTTCTAGTCACATACAGCAAGTAATTTCTTAAGATTTATCGAAATACACAAAATACAATGATCCAAAAAACATTTAATTTTTCCATTCCTTTGTTGGATTAAAAATACTACCTTTGTCTTTAGTTTTTTTTTTTAAATTGCATTCTTCTCTCTCAATACATTTCACAAAACAACCGTAAACATTATCAAGCCAACAAGACCATGGTTACTTTTCTAACAGTTTCACACAATGATATTAAAAACTTCAATGTCTTTCTAATTTTTCTTTTAAAAGATTGGATGATTAATATATCTATATATGTCATTTTTAAAATGACCAATTCTGGAAAAGCAAATCTGCTTATCTCATTGTGAAGGTCAGTTATTACAGATATGCTCAGAGAAATGATAAAAGGCTTAGAATACTACATATTACTATTACTTGAAGGTGTGCAAAGACAATGAGAAATATAAATCAAAACACGAGTGTACAGGAAGCTGTGATACATCTCTCACCAAACTCAATATTGAGGCGGAGGGGGCCCATAACTAGAGTAACTATCATATCTTGGAGCGTAACTGTTGTAGTCATACTCATTAGCAGCTCTGGATGCACCTGGAAACAAAGTGGCAGTAGAATAATACAAATTATAAAAATATGATAAACCTTTAATAATTCCAAGATCTTTGCCCGGTATACATAATTTAATTTTTTTTATCAATATCTATTTATGCCAATGAATAACTTTAATTTTAATTAGAATAGAACATTAAAAAGATGAGTAATTACTATTCTCAAAGGAAGTAAAAACAGGGGAGAGAAAAACTGTTCTAAAGTTTGAAAATCTTCTTACTTAATAGTAAATATACAATGCATATGATGATTTTTGTTAATTTTCTTTTTTCAGTTGCATTTTCTGGAAATTGAAAGCCATTTTATTTAATGGTAAGTAAAGACAAACAAGCTTTCTTTTCAGCAATACTAATGAAAGTTCCTGTACAGCTAATATTTTGCAAAATCAAATAAATTTATACTATTTAGTCAGAAAATAATTGAGATTTTTAATATTTATTTGCTTGTTATTTTAAATCAAATATATTTGATGGAGGAGAGTTCAACAATTGGCACATTTTTAATCTCTGTTAATAATTTTGAATAAAACACAAAATGGTCCAACATACATGTACTAAATTTTTTAACCTATCAAGTATGTAGTTTTACATCCATTTACAAATATTTAAATTTTAAAAACAAATAAAAAATTTAATATTATCAGTTAAATCACCATTTGTTTCAGTCAACAATAGACTTCAGAATACAATGCAAGGAGATCATCCAATTTTACAAGTGTTTAAAAAACGTGCGTTATATTTATATACAGTACTGGGTGAAAGGCTTAGTCGGTAATGCAAATGACAGATGGATTGTGGTTAATATATTATATTCTCCTTTGATTTCACTCATGGGTTCTTAAAATTATTAAATTCATTCTATATTAAGAGAAAAGCAGAGATTTACTTTACTGAAGTTATTATTATACTCTGCACTGAAACTCACAGTTATTTATAAAATGACGTACCAAATTATTGGGTTTCAACTTATGTATAATTCGTTTTTACACTGTGGCTCAGTTTTCACTGAAATTTATCAATTTGTTGTAACGATTCTGACACATTGAGAACATTAAGATTAATTATAGCTTCCATTTTTAAAAGCAATACATTTTTTTAAATACATTAATATCATACTATTTCAATTACATAAAATGGCTATCTTATATTACACAACAGTAATGTCATGTCACATGACAAAAATTATTTTCACCTCTCATTAGTACATTCTAATCAAAAATGATTCTACCAGTTCCAAGGAAGGTTGAAATATATAACTTCATGCAGTTACCGCTTCAACAGTGACGTAGCAGGTAGCCTTGGCAACAGATAATTATGTGAAAATGACTACCTTATTGATGTGTGCTACTTAAAGTATTGAAAGCTTCTTTTACTTGATGTACTTTATTTATTTTCAGTTTATTCAATGTACTATAGTGTAGTTCACTGAATGTGGATTACAGTTCAGAAATGGTTAAAACAGTGCTAAAGTTTGGTGTGAGTCTACCTGATATGTCATTCTATTGCAACAGTTACCATTTTGATCTTATCAACACACTGTGGCCTGTTTCAGTTGCAGTAGCACACTAAGCATGCAAAACAAGAACTAATAGTGATTATGAGCATGGTTTTACAAACGAACTATCATGTTCAAACATATTAAATGACCTTCAAAGGCTGCTACAACATGAGATATGGGAATGTTAAAGGAAGGGGCTTTTTGTTCTAACTAGCACGAGAAAAGTGCAATTCTACCGCCATGAACCAACAACAACCTACACCTATAGTTTCCTTCAACTGGTTGTAGAGTGAAATGACCTCGTTTCTGACAGAATCACTGATGCAGTGTTCTGATACAGTTAATTTATGGAGATTGTGCTCCTAACCCATCAAGGTCGAAACAACAATTCATCAAGTTGAACAATTACCTGATGTTACACGCCTCTGTGTCCTTTTGTAGTCGTTACAAAAAATTAACATCTGACACTCTGAGTACGTTTGTCACCATTTTATTTCTAACAGCCCTACCCGACAGCTAACAGGCCAGCGAAGGCATTTGACAAACACTGGATACTCACCCTTTCAACATACAAGCAAGCAATCTTAGTTTCTAAAACCGTGAAGGCTGTATACTTCTATTGCTTCTTTTCTTGGTAACAAGTAAACTTGAACCTCTTATGACTGAATATGAGGATGACAAACAAATTACGTATGGTAATATACTTGTGAAAACAGAACTATGACTATTACTTATCGTGCAGCTGAAGCTATTGTAGTCTTACCTGAACTACTCCAGTATGATTCCCCTGCACCAGGAACACCTGAAAAAAGTGTAGAAATAATAAAAAAAATGGCATATTTAGAGTAATTATTGTTGGAATGTTGAGTATGGATAACATGTAGTTTATACATGTCTCCATATTCAAGTAAACATGTAAGCTATATCTAAAAATGAATATTCATAACTCCCCTATCTAAAACAATTAATGCTAATAAGTCCAACATATTTCACACCAATTTCTTTGTTTGTAATTAATAAATCAATCGAAAGTACAAGAACTTAGCCTTGTCCACTAGAAGGCTAAGTGAATTAGATTGTCAAGAAATTAATGTCGTGTTTTGGAACACTTTCATTAACCACTCTCCAAAAAACGTATATCACATATGATAGTTAAATGAACCATCTAAACATCACGTTAGTATAGCTTATATAATGTGTAAAGTTTAGTATACTCTAATCACTTATAGTGATGGCACACGATGAGACACACATTCGACATGTAATGCTGTTTGAGTACAAAAAGGGCAACAACGCCTCTGTAGCCACAAAGAATATCAAATAAGTTTATGGAAATGTTTTAAATGTTTGTAAGTGTGACTTTAGCCTTAAAAACTATGATGTTAGGGGCTGACATGTTGGAATTGATAGTGATGCTGTGAAGACGCTTGTTAGGTCTAACCCAAGGCAACACACTCATGAAATGGCCCTAAAATTGCATGTCTCTCATGAAACAATACATAAACATCTAAGGAATATGGAAAACTCCATAAAGAAAGTGCTTGGGTACCTCACGAATTCTCCAATGATCATAATTGCCAACATGTGAACGTTGCTTCGTCTCTTCTGGTGCGTAATGCACATGAACCATTTTTGGACAGAATTGTCACCAGTGATAAAAAATGGATTCTCTATGCAAATATTAAATGCAAAAAACAATGGCTCAGTCCTAGACAAAAACCACTTCTGCCCCCAAAACCTGGACTCCATCCGCAGAAAGTGATGCTTTGAATTTGGTGGGACATCAAAGGAGTAATTCATTTTGAACTCCTCAATTCACAACCAACTATCAATGCAGAGATCTATAGTCAGCAACTGGAATGTTTAAATCAATCTCTTCATCAGAAATGCCCTTCACTCGCTAATTAGAAAGGTGTTCTTCTTCTCCACAACAATGCACGTCCACATATGGCATGTTTGATGCAACACAAGATTATGGAGTTGGGTTGGGAAGTTCTCCCTCACCCATCATATTCTCCAGATACAACACCATCAGATTACCATTTTTTTCATTTGCTACAACACCATCTTAATTGGAAAACTTGTGCAAATGTGGAAGGTGTTAAAGAGGACACTGACATGTTTTTTGCTTCAAAGCCAAGTGATTTCTTTAATCAGAGCATTAACAACCTGATTGTAAGATGAAAAAGCATCATCGACAAGAATGGAGACTATGTCATGTTGTTTTGATATACAAGTTGTTCGGGTTTTTTCATCTAAAAAAAAGCAATATTACTTTCTTGAAAACCTAATATATTTACCAAGGTGACACTAATCTTTGTAATGTTACTCTGGAGTTGGTTACACGTTGATCAGGTTTGGGCAAAATGGAAAGCTACAGTAACAATGTATGTTTAACTTACAATATATTATCAGAGGAATAATCAAAATTTAATGGATTGCTTTTGATAATAACTTGGTCATGTAAGTGCAGAAGGTACATTCGCTATCCAGTTAATATGGATAAAACTACTTCGTAGACAGTTTTTGTACTAGTTTTATGTACACCTGAAATTTTCCTTGTGTATTTTTGTTGTAATTTGTGTCATAATTCTAATACAGTTTATATACATTCTTGAACTGTTTAATGAACCATCATTTCACTCAGAAACAAGAGCTTTAGGATATGAAAAACTATCATTGTGTGTTTAGATCTAATGCCAAATAAACATCTAGCAAAAACAAGTCAATTGGACATCTTTTGTCAAATTCCTATTATTTTCCATTTCTGGAAAACATTCAAGTTAAATAAATAACTGTATTCAAGAACATTGATATTCAAAAACTAGCTTTCAAGATGTTTTGTACCCATGTAAGTACAGTGACTATCATAGCACCTTTGCACCATTTAACCCATTTTCTCAGGGTATATAAGTAAGAAAACCCCAAAATATGTTGTATATAAAAATGACTGAAGAGAATAACCCAACAAACACACACCCAATTTGCTAAGAAACCACGTACTGAACGACATTAACAAGGGGAGAGCATAATGAATAGAAAGTATGTAGGAGTCTAAAGCTTGCAGTGGGGGAAATAAAGCTTGTCACTCATAGGACTATTATTCACTCCACTGTAAAATACAGTGTATTCTATTAAACTCATTTGTTAAGTAAACTGTTGTTTCACTAATGTGTTTCTTCACAAGAGTAATCTGAATGCATTTTAGACAGTAAAACATACTAATAAATGACAATGTATACTGTCAAACATCCCTCACCTCCTGGATTTTGAGAAGAAAACCATCAAGATATGAAAAGCAATACGAATGAGTATGACAAGACTAGAATGATTTATTTACCATTGGTTTTTCTATATTCAGATCTACATGAAAAAAAGGATACTGCTATATGTATATATAGCAGAAATATTTATGATTACCATTTCGTTGAAAACACACATTCCAAGTGAAGACAAAAATATAACTGTCTTAACAACTTCTCTTAGAATTCAGAGTTAATATTTGGAGAAGATACAATAAATGTCCCAAATGCACGATTAGAATGTACAGTAGTTCCTAGTGCCTGACACGTGGCATAGTGATATAATACAATATGTGGCAAATACATTAACTAGTATTATTTGATTTCTTGTATTACTTATAAGGTAAAATGCATCACCATGCACAATACAACTTTCTCTGACCAACTAACAAAGAATCACAATTAGTTGGTATTATAGTACAGTAGTAAGAATAAATGGTTCCATGTATAAAGACAGGCATACATGGAACAGTTCAACAAGGGCAACATTTGAAGAATCTTTTTTTTTTCCCCTAGAGCTTGTGTGTAATGTCTTGCAATGGTAGAAAAATCACCATGGATGGTCAAAATATATTGATATATAATGAAATCAGTATCTAATATTTTTCGGTTGCCCACTTCCAAGAAAATCAATACATACAGACACAGAGGAGCGAGCGCATTTGTGGGGATGCGTGAAGTGAAAATGCCTCTACTAAGTACACATTCCTGAAATATTCTTCTATGTCTAATACGCAGTTAAAACACGTACTGTTGTTGAACGAGGAAAACGTTCTTTAATACTAAATATTCCCTCGGGTCAATTATTATCGTCATAACAAGAGCAAAACATCTGAACTTTATCATGTATAATTGTTTGTTTTAGAATTTTGTGCACAGCCACCAAAGAGTTTGTTTGGAGTTAAGCACAAAGCTACACAATGGGCTATCTGTGCTCTTCCCACCATGGGTATCGAAACTCGGTTTCTAGCGTTGCAAGTCCACAGAGATACCGCTGTGCCACTGAAGAGCTAACTGCTAGAATGTAGACTGTGAAGTTTTGATCTAACATTTTATGTGCAGCTGTGTATGTTAAAACCTTAACAGTATCTCATTAAACTGCAGCTATTACCTTATTCGTTAGACAAAAATAAGAAGGGGAGTTTCGAGTCTATATAAAATATCTGCAAGTTCCCCAAACTTGATTGGTCAGTAAGTCAATAATGTTTTAAGTTTCAAACTTAACCGACTAGTATCTAATGCATTAACCTTCATAGGTAGGGTAATTTACTACATTTTATATTTGAGCTATCAAGGTTACTTAACTTTGGTTTTATGGGTCGAGGTTGGGAGGTTATATCATTTGTTACCGAATTATGCAGGGGGTAGTATAATTCCGTTACATCATTGCAATATTTATACCCTGTATACATTTATATTCTGTTGTTGGATGTATGACAAATTAAAAAGGTGGATATGATTTATGACGTATAATGTAAATTTTGGTTATCTTGACTTTGTAATTGGTATTGTAAGGTCATACCATGTAATAAATATAAATCGTAGGTCAGCTGTAGTATGGTAACACAATACCTTAAATTAGCCTTTATTAATGTCAGATTGCCAGTTTTCTATTGAAATATTTTAAAACATTGCTAGTATCCCCCCACCGCCACAGATATATGTGACATTAGAAAAGGCCCTTACCCATTATTATTATTGTTCTTAAGCCTTAGGTTAAGGTGCTTGCACAACTACTTTTTACTTACCATTTGAAAACTAACAGAAAAAATGAGCTTATTCCTGGTGTCTAGTGGGTGTTATATCAGCAGGTAAATTCCCCTCCAAGTTTATACGTGTTATAGAGGTTCAGCATGATTGGACTGCATTTATAATTGATTATAATAAAGCAGTAAAAAGTTTTATATTAGCACAAATAAAAAAAAATCATTCTCTTTTCAAAAATAAACACTTATTCGAATGGCAGAAAATGGGGAATGGAAGGGTGCCATGTTGTACATCACATTAGCTAACTCAACAGATATTTTTTAATAAGGATACTGAGTAAATAAAACACAATTGGGGATAAGAAACCATGTTGGCCTGAGAATTTCACGGCAAAAGGTTAACTAAACTCCTGAATGAAAAACAACGCCCATTTCTTTCGTCGACTGGTGTTAACAATTGCTTAAGGGTAAAAGCACATCCTGCGCAAGTGTGAAATTGGCGCCACGCTTTCTGGTTTCACCGTCAACGACCTCTATCAGTGTACACATTTCTTAATCAGCTTCTCTGTACGGGTTGCGTACATATTTACTTATTAAAATGGGGATAGTAGCATTCGACATCAAATGATAGCGAAGATAAATTATACTTTATTAGACAGTTTCACAGGCCTTAAAAACAAATGCAACTATCATTTATATATAAATCACTGTTACTATCAAAGTAATATTTCCTAAACTTGCCACCATGAATGCGTAAAAAACGTACTAAACATTACTTTGAAAAACTTTGTTTTTAACGCCGTGTGTGTTGTTACAAAACTGGGTAATTTCGTAAGATTCTTATACGTGCTTAATTAAAATACAAAACAGAATCTGATTTTTCTTCTTCTGGATACATTGTACTAGGTTTCACATCTATATGATGTTCTACCTACTAGTTTCCCATAATGCTAGTCAAAGTACAACCTGATTAGCTTTGAATTTTCCAAACATTATCGGCAAACAATAAAATAGCTCTCATGCACAACTGGCGCCATCTACTAATAAGTTTGATTAATATCATATTTATTATGAACGAACGTTTTTTCTATAGCTTCGAGGACGTTGTTCCTTAACTGGTAAGTGCAAAGTTGCACAATGGGATCAAACTCCAAGATTTAACGTTGTAAACTCCCAAGCTTACCAGCGAACCACAGGGAGCATGTTGATGGGTTATGCAAATAAAATTAACATTCGTTCAATACCAAGACTCATCAGCAAAAACTTTTGTCTCATCATCCAAACCAACTGACGAGTTTTTAGGTAATGACTTGTGAGAAACAACAAGAGACATCTAAAATACTACTTTCACACGACTCTGGTTTCGAATCGGAAAAATTACGAATGTTGAAAAAATATCTGCCCATTACGTGATTTGTATCACAAATGTTAAGTTCAGTACTTTAAGGCTCTGACACGTCTGACAAACACTGTAAGTTAATTGCTTAGAAGCTAATTTTTGTCACTAAAAGTTGCTTATATTTACATAACTCGTTTTTCTTTTCTAATGCTTACAATACTTAAATAGACAAGTTTTGAAAAAACATGGCATCTATGATACCCATCTCGTGTGTGCTTTAGCACCACATAAAAGTTGTAGTATAAAGAACAGTGAGATGTCATGTCTGCGGGCTGTGCTTGAGACTAACCATTAATAAGAACTTCCGAGTAAAAGAAAAACAGATTAGTTGTGCAACAAAACGTTTACATAAACTTTTATAATAAAATGCGACTAATTCGCCGATATACATTTCTTTAGACTATATTCAGATGCAGTTTTACTGCATTTCCAAACACTGTAACAGCCACATCACAGTGTACGTATTGCTAGACCCACTACATGGTTAAAAATATGTCGAATTACTTTTACAACTAACATACTGTTCCCGCCTTCGTACTGTTTTTAAGTACATCTGAGGTTAAGTCCACCCCTTTTATACATACAGATTACAAGTTGTATTTTTCAAGGTATGAAGCAATCCATAAAACATAAGATTGTAACTTATAGTCTTGACAGAGGTAAAAAAAAAAGACGATTGAGTATTAACATGGTATTCTCTACAATTAATTTATGAGTTACTAAAGACGATCCTATGCATACACGTCACTGCTTTGAATGAAAACATCACAACAAGACAATCTTAATAAGCCGACTCTGTGAAATGCACAATTACCGAACTGAAATACGGGCAGAATGGTATTTAATTTCTTCTCCATTAATGATACAAGTAGTGACTTTTAAAAAGTAAATACTAATTGGTAACTGATTAAAAATTAAGCTGCATAACAAATGCTTATGAATAGTTTTGAATATACTTTAACCAATTCCAGTAATGCTGGTGTACAGTTGCCAATAACCTGACAAAAAAATAAAAATGTTGCTATTTGATAGATTTTTAAAAAATTCCACCTTAGAACACCCCCTCCTTTTTTTACACAGATTTATGTTGCAGTATTTTTTCTTTTCTAATACAAAACAAACAAACTGTAGCTGCTTGACCAAAAACACAAGCCATTGCAAAAGGGGTAGTTTTTGTAGTGGAAGTGTCTCATGTTATATTTTGATAAAAAAATAAAAATTCCTTTTCTAAGATGTTCATTCTGCATGGTATTTTAATAACCATTTATATCTGTTTTTGAAATTTTTATACATATATACAAAACATTAACACAACACACCCCTTTAAAGTAACATATTTTCAATATCAAAACAACTCTTTTTAAAGCTTAATATTATTATTATTGCTATAGAAACATATTCACCTGCACTGGATCCATATCCACTACCTTGTGAATAAGCTGGTGCTGTTGGCTTTGCATAAGGATCTGGTAGCATGGGTCTGGAATGTAGATCTGCTAGTGCATGTCTACTTGAAGGGTCAGGGGCCGGTGGGCGACCATAAGGATCTGGTGGTGCTGGTCTTCCATACTGCTCAGTGTAAGATGAGGGTCTGATATAAGCATCAGCAGGAGGTGCTTGTCTAACTGATGGATCTGATTGAGTATATGGATCCTCAGGTCGTCCATACGAGGATGAAAGAGGTACAGGTCTAGAATAAGAGCCTTGGGGTGGAGCTGGACGCCCATAAGGATCGGGTGGAAGTTGAGATCTGGCATATGGATCTGGCCTAGAATGAGATTCTGACTGTGGATAACCATATGGATCTACAGGAGCATGTCTTTTATATGGATCTTCAGGCTTACTATAAACAGCAACTCTCTGTTCTGGTTGATCATATGCATCTCCAAAGTTACCCATTCCATTGTACGATGAAGATCCTCCATATCCAGATGGATTGTGATAATCAATTCCTTCCATGCCATAATCATTTGGAGAATATTCAGAGCTAGCAAGATACAATTCATTAATTAAACAAGCATACAAAATCATCACATGTGAAGTCATACAATCGTCAAATACCTGAATGATCTGGTAATTACAGGTGTTCTCATATATTTCAATAAACATAATCAGTAAGAGAACAACAAATACCGGTCAAAGCTTTTCATTGTAGAACCCTGCTGGTTTATTATTTTTCATCAATATTCTTTCAGGGTTACCTCACACAGAGGTCCAGAAGTGTGAAAAAATTATATTATGATAGTCGTATGAAAATTACCTTGTTTATAGTTGAAAAGGAAGAGTATATATATTTTCTGTACACAATCTCAAAAAATCAAAATCAGCTTCCTAAGAGGATCCTATAAATAAATGTAACTACTTTAAATCAAGAGATTAAAGCAAGCTAATCCAAACAAACCAAGTGTAGAACACTGTGAAAAGCACAATTACTGAAATACAGGTAGAATGATTTGTCGTTTCTTCTCCAATTACTGATACAACTATTAATGTTTCAAAAATAAATACTGATTGGTGATTGATTAAACACTAAGGTTCGTAAAAAATATTTGGTCTTGAATGTGCTTTACTCATTACCAGTGAACAGTTGCCAATAATATGAAAAAAAATAAAATGACTTGCCAATTGATAGTTTTTAAAAACTTTTCCAACTGAAATATATGTAAAAAAAAAATAGTAGTTCTATATTGTAGTTTTTCTTTTTCCATTTTCAAGATTTCCCATTAGTATCTCTTACAGAGCAAGTTTACACTGAATCTCATGCCCTCAGTGCAGTTATGCCTCACTTTGTTTCAAACAATGTTAATTTCTGTGTAAACAATTTAAGTGTTGACAAGTGATTGTACAGTATATGACTAACAGTGGAACACAGTTCATGTTTGCAACTGTTGACATTTAAGTTGGTTTAAAATGAATCTAATAACATATTTTTATTTCATAATATTTACTAATACTTGAAATATTTTGTGCAAGCCAAATGAATCAGCTAATTGTCAGTTGTTTCTTTTATCTATTATTGTCGTTCATATAGGACTGTTAAATCAAGATATGAATTAATTTCTAAAGTATGATTAGATAATGCCATCTGAACAATTTTTAAAAAACCTCACGGAGATTGAATGTTTCAACTTCATTTTGTTGTGCTAATTCAATTTACACAGAGACACTTAAAGCATTTAATACAGATTAAGTTGAAAAGAGTGTCTCAGTCTCATTTTTTAACCAATGAACTCGCAAGATAGAAACCAAAATCCAGAAGCACAAACTCATTATTATTATTAACCTGGATTTTTGCAACTGTGCAAAAGATTAAGCTTTCTTATAAATATCACATTTCAGCAACTACTGAGGATTTTAAACAATTCTTAAACGTTATAATTTTCCTATACCGAAAATGTATTTCAGATAGGTACTTACTTCCTCTCACATAAATAGCTATTCTGGTTCAGTGCTGCCTTCTATATGCATTTTTTTTACGCATGCCACAAGTTTTTATCTCCCCTCCATTGGAACTGACTAATTCCAATGTGTCTCTCATACAAATCATTCTGCAACAACCCTCTACCAATAAGGGTGCAACATACCATCATTCCGCAAGTAAACCCCACTATTCAGTTGTATCTAACTATCACTTTGAATTTGGCAAGAAATAGAAGCACTGGTTTTCAGTGAGGAGAAAGGGTGGGAAGTGTGTGAAGAGATCGGAAATACATTTTCAGTATAGGAAAATTATAACTTCCGATACTGTACATTATCTCTTCTCATATAAATAACTAGAATCCCATATTGAATAGATGGAGAGTTCAGTGCGAGGGAAGAAAAGAAGGATCCAAAGGACAATCCCTAAAATAAGGCAGTCAGATTCTAAGAACTGATGAGGGAGACCACACCACATCTGAACCAGGTATACTTTTCACCCATCATAGAAAGATGTAGCATACATGGGTAGGAAACAGTGGAGCACATTCAACTGGGAGAGAACTATGGCTGGAAAGTGATCCGAACCATGCAATATTTATGAAACTCAATCCCAGAAATTATAAAAGCAGGTAAAATGAAAAGGATGTGCCCTTAGGTGTAGAGTGACTAGGGTGCAATAGTCTGCACACAGCAAGTCAACTACATCCAAATCACATGCCACTGGGAACAGACATCCACATGGGGGTAGGATGAGGATCATACCGTTGGTATATGAACTACAATCCAAAACCTAGGTCACTGGAAACCGACATCCATGTGGGGGTAGGAAAGAGGATCATAACAGTGGCAAGTCAACTACAATCTGAAACCCAGCCAGAGGGAATCTAGTACTCTCCAATTCATGAACAGGGCAAATGTGAATATGATAAATTGATCTAGGAACCCAACATCCAGTATCGAAAAGATGTCTACATAATGTAAATCATCTCCCTCAAAAGTGAAATTGACCAGAACTACCCCAAGCACATTAACATCCTCAGAATAAAAATCACCAAGAGATAGTGGAAGGGAAAGAACCATAACAATCTGCAATTACCCTCACTATGATCCACAACATTGATGAAGTATAAATGAGGGAAGAATATACACCTCTGTAATACATGTGTGAGGACATATGTTAATTGGTTGTACTCTGTATCCAAAACCAAGCCACTAGGAACTGACATCCATGTGAAGGTAAGATGAGGGATCTCAATCAAAGGGGTAAACTGCAATTTTGATGTCTCACTATTTGATTTTAAGTTTCTTATTGGAGGATATCATGACATCTGCACCAACAGAACACCACTACCCTACTCTCAACTGAATGGTTTTATAATCATTTCTATGTTTCATTAATCCATTCAGGAGGATGCCTTCACCACCCCATTGGTTTGGAACTGGAAAGTGGTAAGGAATCTCAAATTCCACTAGAAGAAAAGGGGAATAAAACGTGGTGGAGAGTCCGGAGGAACAACAATACCTGAAACAGTGAAAAGAGTGACCACAAACCCTATTTTTAAAGGCAAATCATAGCAATTTATTCAATACAAGGCATGGATGGGCAGCTATCCCCTTCTGTTTTACCCATGTAGTCAATGGGTGGGTACGGTCCACGATGGGCAAAGTTATGAAGCAATTCTATTGCAAGGATAAACCTACAAGCAATCTTGTGGAATACCTCATCTCTGCAGTGTGTGTTGCTTGGCCATGGAATTATAATATGCAAGTCAACATGGCTTGACAATGTGGATTTGAACAGTTAAAAAATACCTGGTCAGGCACCACTCGCCACAGAGCAGGATCCACAAAATAAGTAATAATAATAATAATAAAAAGGGAAATAAGGCTGATGAAAATAAAATAAATAATAATAAAAGAAAACTTACCCAGTCAAAGTCTCACTGAAGTCTTAAGAATGGATACAGGCAAAAGACGATAGTCCAAAGAAAAAGAAATCTCAATCCTATGCAAATAGTGAGAGACAAATATATTAGTAATCCATATGCCCAATTGAAGAATTTCCTCCAATAGACAATGAAGATGAGATGCCAGAGAAAAGGTAAGGGGTCATATTTGAAGGGAAGACACATGGAACAAAGTATGGGAGGAAGACGATAAACAGGAATAAGCCAATCGACTCAAAACCAAACCAAATAGGTGAGAGCGGAAGGAGAAAAATCACAAACAGAGGATGGCTGCCAAGGCAATATAACAGCAAAGAGCACATAAGGACATAGAAGTATATCCATATTAGGCCTAGGATAAAGGTGGGAAATGAAAGGAAGAAAAATTGGTGAAAAGGAGGAGTTACCCTCTCTATCTGCCAAAGTTTTGGGGAGGAAAGAATGATCCAGATAAAAGAGAATATATGAAGGATGATAAAGAGTATGTGAAACATTGATGCCAATAAAATCAGACCTCCGAGGTTCACAGGCTAAGAGGAGAAGGAAACAAGTCTTAAGGGAAAGGTGAAACAAAGAGCACGTGGAAAGTGGTTTGAATGGAGGCAAAGTGAGGCAGTGAAGGATCACATTAACATCAGAGTCTGGAAAGACAGCCTGCCATGGTGGACGATGAATTTGGAAGGAATGCATCAACAGGTAAACTGTAGGTGAAATAAATACCCTAGCGTATCAGGAAAAACGAAAGGTGTGGGACAAGGCAGCCCAATAACCTGAGATGGAGGAGACAGAAGACCCCTGATCTAAAAGCCAAGTAAGAAAATCCACAATATGAGAAACAGTGGGTCAATCAGTGTAAAACCTTCAACCCAGAGACCAAAGGCGGAAAACTTTCCATTTATGCTAATAAACTTCCATGGAGGAAGGGCAAATGGAACGAGCCAGAAATGAAGCTAGTCGTCGAGACAAGCCGGATCTCTTTAACAAGGACCAGATAAAAAAAAAAGGCATGAAGGGAAGATGAAACACTGATTACTGAGGTTGATGAAGAAGGGAGGGAGACAGGAGAAGAGGTAACATAAGAGTAAATTGGAGTTGGAAAAGTCGCGAAAACCATGACTGAGCCGGCCAGTAAGGAGCAATCAGAAGGACTTGACATGGAGTGGTATGGATGATCGAAATCACCAGGTTGAATGGGAGGATAAACATATATGTATTTGTTGGTTCAATCCAGACTGAAAGCATCAACAGCCAGAGCAAGAGGATGAGGACTGGAGACCAAAACAGAGGGAATATGTGGATGTGGCAAAAGCTAGTGGAAAACAAACAGGATCAGAAACCACTCCATTAGATAGCTTTTGTCTGGATGGGAAAGCTGATCCAGAATAAGATTGAAAGTGCCTAGAACACGACACACAATGATATGAATGTCTTAAATGTGGGCCCCCAAAAAAATCCAATGTATGAATACAGAGGGATTGAGAATGGGTGCCACCCTGGTGATTGAGATAAGCAACCACTATAGAATTGTTGGAATGGATCATTACCAGCCGATTTCTGGCCAGATGGAGAAAATAAACCAAAGCCTGACATAAAGTGAGAAGCTTCAGTATGTTGATATGAT